ATTTTTACCGAATATACATTTATAAGCCCCCCCCCCTTTTTACCACTTCATCTCTAAAGATTTTTTTAAAGATATATTAATTTATTCGTCATTTTTGCAATTATAGATTTTTAGGCTATAGAATATCTCGATATTTCACATATCCTTTTATCATATTTTACATGCTAAATGATGTATATTATACGGGTAGATTGATGATTCATCAAATAAAAGTGCCTATACATAGAATACTGCACAAGCTGAGTTGGCTTTGAGAAAATAATTCGGGTTTGGGCTTGGGTCATGTTATGCCGACCCGAAAAATAAATATTTTATAAATATCCTAAATAATCATTATAATTCATAATATCACTTTTTTATTTATCACATTTTACCCATAAAATATCATTCAGAATAACATGTCATTTTCAATTATTATTTTATAAATTACATAACAACCATACACCAAACTATTTTATGTGATTATATTTTAGTACATAGCTAGATAAAACGATATTATTACATACTTTACTTTCATCATATTCTATTTAAATAAAATTTTCATATTAAAAAAACTATTTCAATGGATGCCAAATTAAAAAAAAATTGGTGAAAAGATTAAGAGCAATGAAAATGAAGTAAGGGAAAATGCCAATGGCAAATCTGAGGTCTGGAAAAAGTTTTCATTTATATATGATGAAAACAAAGAAAAAATTAGTTATGTAAGTTACAATTTTTGAAAATATATATGTTTATAATACTATAATAACAGGATAGTATATTTATGCATAAAATATATGAATGATATTATTATATATTTTAGGCACTAATCAACTAAAAAGGCTTAAATTGTATTTGCAATAGAGGGTAAAAAGACTCAATTAATAATTGAAAGCATTTTTGGTACTAATCCAAAAACTCAAACCAAATTAAAAAAAAAGAGGTTACAAAAGTGCTTGACCCGGGGTTCAGACCATCTTTTGTGGACGTGATTTGAGATCATTTGATACGATTCATAGATAAACTTTGTTGATTACTGCCAATATTTTTCCAAAATTGGCTCAGTATATGGAAATATTGATGTTAAAAGCATCATTCCAAATCCCACGTCAATTGTTAAAAATTTAATAGATACTGCTGATGGTATACGCAATAAATTATTTCCGAAATTAAACGCTTATTTGAAAAAGGGTCGATTTGCTGGTAACATATATATATGAAAATGTGGTTAAATTATTCATAATTTTTTATAGCCAACACAGACCTTTGGACTGATGATTATAAGAAAATATCCTATGTAACTCTTACTATCCATTTCTTAAACGATTCCTAGAAACTAAATAATTAAAAAGGAAATTATTAGAAATTTCACCCTATTAGGTATTGATTTTATTACACATAATTTTAAAAATCAATGTATTTTTTGTATCAGTATATATAGTAGGCATATTTATCTAAAATGCCATTCATTACAGAACAAGAAGCTAATATGTTAAAGCATTTGAAAATTATAAACGATTGAATTGCGCTACTCCTTTTACACAGTATTAAAGAATACCTTTGATAATAAAAATATTGAATATTAAGGTTCAGAGATATATCAATGCTTTGTTGATTGTAAAATTTAGTTAATTATATGAAACAGAGTGGGCATGTTAAAAATTACCTTTTATTAAAATATAGCATTAAATTTTAGATTAGTTAATCAACTTGATAAAACACTACATTTGTGAGATGAGACTCGATGGAATAGCAGACTAAAAATGATGGAATCGATTTTAATCACAATTAAATATTAGGGATTCTCAGTTCTAGAGGAGAGTCGATTAGGCTCAAAAATATAGATTTTGAAATGATGAGCGACCTTATCAAGTTTCTGACGCCTTTTAAAATTGTGAATGAACTTGGGAGTGATTTAAAACCAACCATTCACAAAGTTATATTATGTTAACACAAAATATTGAGTTTTTTTTTGGCTAATCCAAACTTATACTTGCAGCTTAACCAGCTATCGCATGCCGGGAAATAATGATGAATAAATTTTAAAATATTCCACCAAATTTAGACATTTTTGTGTCCAAATTTCGGGATATGGAAATGTTATCCTGAGAACATAATAAAGTCTTGTGCCAACATATTAACACGTTAATTAATGCAGAGAAGATCAACAGAGATATGGCTGGACAAAAATCTATAAATACCAAATCACAATCTAGCTCCTACTCAACTAATGGGTTAGTAGATAAAGGTTCATTAAATTAACAAGAAATTTATTAATTAAAAAATAATAAAGTAAATATATATCTTTCAAAATTATTATTGTATTATGAATATTATTTTCTTAAGAAAATACTGAGGCAGATACGTTTTTGGATTTCTCTCTATGAGAGGCTGACAATACGTTTTCTGATGTTAGCGTTGAAGTTGACCAACTTCAAAAATACCTAGATGCTAAATTATAAATTGAAGATGATAATATTTTAAATTGGTGAAAAACAAACAAAAATGATTTTCCAAATTTAGGTATTTTGACACTTAAATTCCTAGCTATCCCTGCTCCGTTGGCTAGCAGTGGGTATTTATTCATCGTCACTTAAATTTTATTTGACGGCCACAACCCAATCAAGATATATATTAAGTTTCATTTTATTCAATTTGTAAATAATATTATAAAAATGTTAAAATGCAAGCGAATTTAAAAATTATTGCGATTATATAAAAACAATAAGCATGATTTATGTCGAATGTAGATGATATAGTTAATATAGAGACTAAAAAATAATGAACATATTATAATGACATATCAGTATTATTATCAGAAGTATCACAAAGCGAATAATTATGATATATAAATAATGAAGAGTCCGGTTTATATGACTTTAAACGAGTCCTTTTACCTTCTAAGGCCCTACCAGTAACTTAAAACGCTCTATAACTGCTAGCCGATGAAGCAGGGATAACTAGGAATTTAAGATGAAAATACTTAAATTTAAAAAGTCATTATGGTTTGTCTTCTACCAATTTAAAATATTATCATTTTCAATATATAATTTAGCATCAAGATATTTTTGAAGTTTCTCAACTTCAACGCTAGCATCATAAAATTTATTGTCAGCCTCCCATATAGTGAAATCCAAAAACGTATCTGCCTCAGTATTCTCTTTAAAAAAATTATTCATAATATAATAATAATTTTAAAAGATATATATATTTACATTATTTTTTAATGAATAATTTTATTGTTAATTTAATGCCTTTATTTACTACACTATCAATTGAGTAGAAGCTAGATAGTGAGTTGGTAGATTTTTACCCAATCATATCTCTTTTGATCTTCTCTGCTTTAATCAACGTGTTATAATGTTCTCGGATAATATTTTCGTACGAAATAATGGGCACTAAAATGTAGAAATTTGGTCGAATATATCTATTTGAAATTTATCCACCATATTTCCTGGCATCTTTGCGATAGCTGATTAAGCTCTAGGTTTAAATTTGATGAGCTAAAAAAAACTCTATATTCTGTGATAACACAATATTGTGAATGGTTGGTTTTAAATCACCAAGTTCATTACTCGCAATTTTAAAAGGCGTCAGAAACTTAATAAGGTTTATCATCATTTCAAAATCTATATTTTCGAGTCTAATCGACTCTCCTCTAGAACTGAGAATCTACAATATTTTATTGAATTGATTAAAAATCTATTAAATCATCTTTAGTCTGCTATTCCATCGAGTCTCAACACCCAAACAAATGGAGTGTTTTATCAGTTATAGTCAGAGTTGTTAAAAGATACTTTTTAAATGGATCTAGATACAGATACAGATACATAGTCTCAAAAGTTATCTAGATACAGATACAGATACAGCGTCTAAAAAGTTATCAAGATACAGATACAATTTTTAAATGTATCTGTATACAGATACATTTTTTATTATGCTCTTATAGGTTTGCATAAACCTAAATTAATATTATATTGTGAAAATTCATGAAATGAGCTAAAAAATTTATTGACGCGATATTACATTTATCAGAATATAACTAAAATAATGATTTTAATATAATATATGATAATATATGATTAAATAATTATAAATAATTATTAGATTTCAGTAATAAAACATTTTCAAAATTTTGATCATTTAGGCATCCTCGTTTATCTGTAAAGACATTTTTAGCAACACTAAATAGTCTTTCCACAGGGGCGCTTGAAGGAATTGTAGTGTTATATTTAATAAATAACAATTTTATATCAGGGTATTCTTTAAAAATGCTAAAATCTCTACATTCATTTTTGAAAAAATTATTTAAAATTTGTTGATTATCAAAATTTAAATCATTATTAGAAATTATATCTGCTGTAGGGTACTGAAAAAAATCTGAAATTAAATTATTTGTTTTTTTTTGGCAGGTTATTTGCTTGCAGTTAGTTGATGACTTTGATAATTCACCAGCTAATCTTTGTATTAATTGTTTTCTTTTATTAAGATTTTCTTCCATTTGCAACCATGTCCAATCAAGTTTAAAAAAAGGGTGGAGCATGGTTGCTATAATATTATCATCTTCAAATAAGGTCACAATAAACCTAGAATTATTAAATATTTTTAATTTATTATATTAATTTACCTATCCTCAATCCCTTTAAGTAAGGCATCTAAGAGTGGTAAACAGAATCTCAGGTTCATTTCTTTAAAATTCTTTAATTTGATAATAAGTTGTGAAATAGTTGCACAGTAATAAGCTGTGTACATATACTTATCTCCCTGCAAAATATCAAGGGAATTAGCTATTGGCTTCATTAGCTAATTTAAAATAATGCTATATATATAAATATTATTTATAACTTACTAAACAATATTCATGAATAAAATCACATTCATTAGGTAAAAACCTAGGTAGTTTTATTCCATCACATATCTTGTCTACTTTGTCAGATTTATCTTTTATAATTTCTGACATTAATTGTAAGGCATTATAGGTGGAGTTCCATCTAGTTATATTAGGACATATAAAATAACGACCAATATATTCCTTAATAATCTCAGATGAAATAGGAGACTTATTTTGCCTATTCCATATATTTTGGCATTTAAGTAGTGTTGTGCTATATATCTAATGAAGAAAATATTACTTATTTAATTAAAATTAGTTTTACCCTCTGATATTGTTTACACTGCATGGCTCTATTGGCATCCACAGTGGCTATAAGATTCAATGTGTGACTGGCACAACATTGGTGATGAGGTAAACTAAATGATTCTGATAATTCAGAATCCTGTGCAGTATTATAAAGATTTGATATAGAAATTGGCACAACTGCTTCATCTTCCAGATCATCAATTGATTCACTTGTATTATTTTCAATTGGCTTGAAAACTCTTTAATAAATTAAGTAATCAATCATATATTATGTTTATATTTATTTATAATAAAATAAACCTAAAACATTTTTTAAAATTTTTGGCATTATCTGTAATGGTCTTTGAAATTTTATTTTGAATGCAATAATCCTTAGCTATATCTTGTAAATTTTTTGCTATTTTATCATATGTATGACTACCAGTCATTCTTTTACAAGCCAACGCTACATTTTTTCTTTCCAAACTTATTGGATTTATATAATGAGCGGTTACTCCTATATATGAACTAGAAATTAAAATTTATTAAAATTGCTGAATTAATTATTCTTAATTAATTATTATACAAATTGAAATGTTAACTATACCGGCGATAGGCACTCCAACAATCTGCTGTTGTGCATATTAATGATGGTTCTATAAGACTTTTAATTATTTCTTTCTTTTCATTTTCCCATCTTTGGGAAATTCTACCAACAACTGTCTGTCGGCAAATTATATTTTTGTGTGGAGCCAAAGTGTTGATCATTTTTTTAAAAGAAGGATTTTCAACAATTGAAAATGGCTGCATGCCATCTATAATAAAAGCAATAATTAAATCATCTAAAGTGCCTTGAGTTAAAGTCAAAGGTCTTTTAGCAAAAATATTGATGGAGGATGAGCCTTGTCCAGTATTTTCTTTGGTAGTTTTATTTTCCTTCCCCTTTTTTATTTTTGTTAACAAGGTTGGATGTTTTCTCTTAAAATTTAAATTAGAATTTTAAATATATAATATCTATACCATTATGTGCTTCAAGATATTGCACGTTGAAGTCTTACTGACGGATATTTTTGTATTTTTAGGTAGACACGGCAAACATTTTACCATTAGAGAATTGTTTTCTTTGTTTTGAGATATTATTTTAAAATATTCTCTATAAATTGGCCATGGTAAAGCAATAGAACTTGTTGTTGCTTCCTCTTCTTCATCGATATAGATCTAAATAAATATATAAACTTAAAAATTTAGTTATAAAATAAAATTTACCATTTCCATATTGTAATATTAAAATTTGTATGGTTTATTGATAAACTCGGACATAATATTTAAATTAATGAATATTTATATATATTTTTTATATATAAGTTTTAATATTTTATGTATATATAATTCTTTATTATAATATTAATAAATATTAATATATAATATATATATATATATATATTTATTTCATAAGCTCATATGAAATAAAATAAATTTTACAGTCAAATATTTTTATTTATAATAAAAAAAGGGGTATATAAAATGTATCTGAAAAAGTATCTAAAAACAGATACAGATACCTCTAAAATAATATCTAGATACAGATACAGATATCTTTCTAAAAAATCTATCTAGATACAGATACAGATACTACATTTTTATATCTAGATACAGTATCTAGATACTTGTATCTAGATACTTTAACAACTCTGGTTATAGTTAATTAACTAATCTAAAATTTAATGCTATAATTTAATAAAAGTTGATTTAACATACCCACTCTGTTTAATATAAGTAACTAAACTTTTACAATCAATAAAGCATTGATATATCTCTGAACCATGATATTCAATATTTTTATTATCAAAGGTATTCCTTAACACTGCATTTAAAAGATGAGAATCAAAATACCATCCTTTATGGTTTTCAAATGCTTTAATCATATTAGCTCTTTGGTCTGTAATGAATGAAGTTTCATATAATATGCCCTACTGTATCCTGATACAAAAAATACATAGATTTTAAAAATTATTTTTAATAAAATCGATACCTAGCAGGATAAAATTTCTAATAATTTTTTTTAAAATTATTTTTATCAGTCTTTTTTTCTTCTTCAAAATTGCATGTAAACAATTATAACCTTATTTAGTTTCCACAAATCATTTAAGAAATGAATCTTATAATAGTCCAAAGGTCTGTGTTGGCTATAATAAATTATAAATTTAACCACATTTTCATATATTTGTTACCAGCACATCGACCCTTTTTTAATTAAGCGTTTAAAATAATTTTTTGCCTATACCATTAGCAGTTTCTATTATATTTCTAGAAATTAAATTTAAAGGCTTACATCCGGCCATACCTTTATAATATATCAATACACCTTTCCAGTTACTGATTAAACTATCCATAAATTTTATATAAATTCTTTGATAAAATATATGAAAGGTAATATTTTTGATAATATATGTTGACTCGGCAGTAAATATCATTAATCTGATCAATGATTAGTAGTTTAAAATTTAAAACAGCTTAAATTTCTATATGAATATATACATGCCTTTATACATAAATAGGTATTTATTTATTTTATCAACTTTAATTTGGGGGATACTAAATAAAATCTAAATAAAATAACCAGCCCAAAAATAGTACTCAGTGATTGAGATAATTCTGTCGATAATTAAAAAGCCTTTATATTAATATTCTTATTAAAGGTTAATTAATAAATCATTGGATGCCAGCTTGCATGAAAAGATTATATTTAAAGTTTCTTCTAAATTGAGATAATTTAAATGAGACCAAGAGACATTTATGAAAGGAGAATGGCAAGTTAGACCAAATATATTATCATATATCTAGAAATGAGCTCGACATCGTGTAGAAATAATGCATTAAATTCCTTTAATTTAATTCATGATATTAAATAGTATATATATATATATATATTTCTATTAAGAGTACATTTATATTTTTATAATTCTTTGCTTTATATAACAAAATAGAATAAAAAAATAAAATAAAAGGTTTAATCTATATAATAAAATAAGATAATTAAGATGTTTATTACATTATTTGAATAATAATATCCAGGTTACGCCGAAATCTTAAAATAAAATTAAGTATTTTTAAAACTTATTTTCTTTTAAAGATTAATCCTAAATATTAAAAAGAGTTCATATTTCAAAATAAATTTAAAAATGAAATCATAAACGTATACACAGAGCAATCTGTCAATTTGCTGTAATTTATTCAAGGAAAGTGATAAACAAAATTGCATCACAAATTTTACAAACCACCATACAGGTCACAAGCAATATAATAAAACCGCCAGAGCTTTGAAGTTTGCAAATTTAACCTCCATCCTTAACAACATCAGACTAAATGTGACCGTTTGTATAAGGCTAGATGGCTTGACACTAGTATAAGAGAAGGTTGTAAATACTGTTCAGCTCATTCTATACTATCATTTTAATGATAGAGTGTGTACCAGGATTAAAATATAACCAAATATTCTTTTTAAATGGCTCGAAAAGAAAATATATTTACCTAAGCCTGAAATAGAGATAAAAATTTATGCATCCAACTTCCTTAGGATCTGTTGAATGAAAGATATCGACAGCATAGAAGGGTGTACATTTAAGACATTTGTTTTTTTTCAAAATTTTATCTATTTTTTTAAAATATAAATATTATTATAAATTAATTTTATATTAATATATTAAAAATAATAGTAAATATTAAAACAAAGGCAATAGTATATATTTATTTTCAGGTGTATACTTTTATTTGATATATTTTGTAAATCATTATTCTCATTTCAATTATCGGGTACAGCATATCCAAAATAAAAAATTGATAAAGCTGTGCACCTGCACATACTCAAATATAAGACAATACTATCCAAACAGTTTATTTTAACGTTTTTCAATAATGACGTTACTCTTACTATGCTACTTTTTTTGCGCTTTTGTTATATAAATAGATTCTATATACATTAAAATTTTTAATATAGTAATTGGAAATAATGATGGTCAACACTCGGGTATAAATCTTTTTTATTAAATAAAATCACATTCATTAGGTAAAAACCTAGGTAGTTTTATTCCATCACATATCTTGTCTACTTTGTCAGATTTATCTTTTATAATTTCTGACATTAATTGTAAGGCATTATAGGTGGAGTTCCATCTAGTTATATTAGGACATATAAAATAACGACCAATATATTCCTTAATAATCTCAGATGAAATAGGAGACTTATTTTGCCTATTCCATATATTTTGGCATTTAAGTAGTGTTGTGCTATATATCTAATGAAGAAAATATTACTTATTTAATTAAAATTAGTTTTACCCTCTGATATTGTTTACACTGCATGGCTCTATTGGCATCCACAGTGGCTATAAGATTCAATGTGTGACTGGCACAACATTGGTGATGAGGTAAACTAAATGATTCTGATAATTCAGAATCCTGTGCAGTATTATAAAGATTTGATATAGAAATTGGCACAACTGCTTCATCTTCCAGATCATCAATTGATTCACTTGTATTATTTTCAATTGGCTTGAAAACTCTTTAATAAATTAAGTAATCAATCATATATTATGTTTATATTTATTTATAATAAAATAAACCTAAAACATTTTTTAAAATTTTTGGCATTATCTGTAATGGTCTTTGAAATTTTATTTTGAATGCAATAATCCTTAGCTATATCTTGTAAATTTTTTGCTATTTTATCATATGTATGACTACCAGTCATTCTTTTACAAGCCAACGCTACATTTTTTCTTTCCAAACTTATTGGATTTATATAATGAGCGGTTACTCCTATATATGAACTAGAAATTAAAATTTATTAAAATTGCTGAATTAATTATTCTTAATTAATTATTATACAAATTGAAATGTTAACTATACCGGCGATAGGCACTCCAACAATCTGCTGTTGTGCATATTAATGATGGTTCTATAAGACTTTTAATTATTTCTTTCTTTTCATTTTCCCATCTTTGGGAAATTCTACCAACAACTGTCTGTCGGCAAATTATATTTTTGTGTGGAGCCAAAGTGTTGATCATTTTTTTAAAAGAAGGATTTTCAACAATTGAAAATGGCTGCATGCCATCTATAATAAAAGCAATAATTAAATCATCTAAAGTGCCTTGAGTTAAAGTCAAAGGTCTTTTAGCAAAAATATTGATGGAGGATGAGCCTTGTCCAGTATTTTCTTTGGTAGTTTTATTTTCCTTCCCCTTTTTTATTTTTGTTAACAAGGTTGGATGTTTTCTCTTAAAATTTAAATTAGAATTTTAAATATATAATATCTATACCATTATGTGCTTCAAGATATTGCACGTTGAAGTCTTACTGACGGATATTTTTGTATTTTTAGGTAGACACGGCAAACATTTTACCATTAGAGAATTGTTTTCTTTGTTTTGAGATATTATTTTAAAATATTCTCTATAAATTGGCCATGGTAAAGCAATAGAACTTGTTGTTGCTTCCTCTTCTTCATCGATATAGATCTAAATAAATATATAAACTTAAAAATTTAGTTATAAAATAAAATTTACCATTTCCATATTGTAATATTAAAATTTGTATGGTTTATTGATAAACTCGGACATAATATTTAAATTAATGAATATTTATATATATTTTTTATATATAAGTTTTA